TTCGCATCATGGATATGCAGCGGACAAGTCTGCGGCAACTGTGTGATGCCATCATCTCAATATGGACCAAGCTCCGTGAGGAATGCTTCCAGCACCTTGTTGAATCTATGCCACGAAGAATTGAGGCAGTTCTGAAGGCAAAAGGGGGTCCAACCCGTTACTAGCATGGGGTACCTAATAAAGTGGCCGGTGAGTGTATATTACATGCACATTGTCAGATAGTGTGTGTTTGTGTGTGTGTGTGGTGGGGAATGGAGGGTGCATGTGTAATATTCTTAATATCTTGCTACATTACTATTAAGCTTCATTAACACATTATTTTTGTGTTGATGGATTTTTATAATATGTTATATTAAATGATTTATAGACTTCATACTGAAAATGCAGTGTGATGTGCCTAATTTTTTACCTTAAATGACATTAATCTACTGATGCTATGAAACAGCAATTGCATGTCAAAGTGATGACTTTATCTTTTATAAATGAGAACATCATCTTTGTTCGATGCTGTAGTGCATCTATTCTAGTCCAACTAGGGAGTACCAATATGGCGGCTGGTGACTTGACAGCATCCGGTACTACCAATGGCCTATCAGCGATCCAGTGAAAAAATAGAGATCAGTGGCTGAAGCTGGTAAGGTTAGCAAAGCATCTTCAGGCTAATTGCTGTTCTCTTTAAGAGTTAAAGTTATTTAGTAAAGACATTATTAAATATGTTAGCTTACTACAGTCAGTCTAAAATTATTCTTGTTAAATTTGGAACTTCGCACGATCTAAGCTAGCCTTACCTTTACTGTTTCTAATCATAGACATATACCTAGACACCTTGTTGGACACTGTCGGCATCGAGGCCGACGTGCCTGGGCGGCCATCTTGGATCGGACCACAAAAGCTGATCTGTCCTCGGCTGGATTATTATTATTTTTGTTTGTTTATTTAAGAAACTGTTCACATATTTCTGAATTCTGTTGTACAATTGCAAACCTAGTGTTTATGAACCTGATTAAGTCTTCATACCCCTCAGTCTGACTAAAACTGTATGATTTCAGCATTTGTTTGTTTAACCTTTTTTAATATAAGGAGGAGAGAAAGCAGAGAAGAAACAGGCAGCGGCGAGCCAAGAGGACGCCAAGGTGGACGTGTCCCGTCTGGACCTGCGCGTTGGCCGTATCATCACAGCAGAGAAGCATCCGGATGCTGACAGTCTGTATGTGGAGCAGGTGGATGTGGGCGAGGCTGCACCAAGGACTGTGGTCAGTGGCCTGGTCAAGCACATACCTCTGGAGCAGGTTGGTAGACAGACATGTGGAGCTGAGGGCCAAATACCCAAAATTACTCCTAATAATCTTTACATGCATCTGAAACTGCTTTTAAACACAGAACCACTTTTAACAGAAACATTTATTTAAGTTGTAGGGAAGCGGCTGTTCCAACCGTTGCATTTCCGAATTCTCCCGAGTGGTGCACGACTTTACACGAGTGAATAAAGTGAATGTGATTGGTCGATTATCAAGGGGGCGGGATTGTTGTGGCAAAAGGTTTGCAAGCCTTTCGGTTGTGGCTGGTGTCTCTGAAGCATCTTGCTAACCAGTTAGTAAACTTAGTGCTAGTAGGTTTCCAATGGGAAATTCCATTGGGACCA